TTAGTTTTTTTAATTTTGAAACAATAACAACAACTTATGGAACAAATCAAAATTACTCTTATAATTCATTAGATAACAACGTTCAGAAACAATGGTTCATTTTTTCGTTACAATAATTCCAAATACAGAAACAATATAACAAAATTATGGAACAAAAATAATTTTCAATAATTTTAGATCCCTAGTTGCAGTAATTTCAAAAATACCAAAGCACAATCTATATAATTTTTGAAACCCTAAGTATAATTCGCGCGACATTAACAATAAAATTGGAAACATTACTTTGTCAATTGAGTTTCCGTCGTTGGTGGTTGTAGGTCTTCCGTCGCTTGTACGGCTGCGGCGGGAATGGAAGCCTCCTCCGTAGGGTTTTCCGCCTCCACTCTATCCAACTCTCTTCGCAATCTTTCTCTGTTGAAAACCAAACATTTTTAAAATTTCAACAAATAAGTGTTTACATTATCTTATTTTCATCATAATTTACTAAATTATAAAAAACTTACTGAAATTTCTTGAAACTCTCCTTACTTCGGTAGTCCTTTTTCTGCGTTTGTTCTTTCATTTTTCTAACAAAATCGAAAATGGGTATTTTTGGGTAGTTTTTGGGGTTTTTATAGAACAATGTAGCAGTTACTTCCGTTTTTTTTCCAATGGAAGTTATGGACGCGAACACAATTGAAGTAAGATAATTGGTTTTTGAAATGATGTAAATTTGTAAGAATAATCGTTGTGTAAGGGAAGCAAACCAACCGTCAGTTTTGATAAGACATTAGGATGGCAGTTTTAAATTTTCGAGGGAAAAGTGATCATTGTCTCAATAAATGCACAATGGGTATACGTGTGCATATGTCTAATCTCAGCCGTTAGTTTCACAATTTTTAATGGCATAAGATTGGTTCTCATTTTAACTTGGTTCTCATATAAGGCTTGGTTCTCACATGATCCCTCCCCTATATATATATATTTTTTTTTTTTTTTGAAGCCGCACAGCCACACGACGGGGAGGGGGTTGCCCTCCACGCCGGCGGTGGCTGCTGGGGTGGTGGCCGACCGGTGGGAGGTGTTGGTGGTGGCCGGCCACCTTGTATGTGCGTGTGGGTGTGTAAAAAAATAAAGGGGAGGGGGAAAAATTAAGGGAGAGAAAATAAGAGGAGAGAGAGAAAGAAAGAGTTTACCACCTTTGGGTATTCTCCACCTTGGGCAAGATCTAATTTGCTCATAAGATTGGTGTTTATACCTCTTCTCAAAACCCTCTTATTCTTAAATTCCCTTTCTACCGTTAATGATCTCTTCTCCTATTCAAACTAGTCATTTGACTATATATAGCTTGAGTTTATCTGTATAAACCTTTGAGTCTATCTAAATTAAACTTACTCTTTTTCAAAAAAAAAATTAAAAAAAAATAAAAATAAAAATAAAAAACTTTCCTCTTTGAAATGGAGAATGAGAATTTTTATGAAAACATGCAAAACTGCACTGTGAAATGACCGTCTTGCAGGATTTCGCTTGAAAGATTATATTGTTATCTAATATAATAGTGTTTATATCTTACTAGTAATTAATTTTGTGTTAATATGTGTTTTCAGCCTCTTCCTGTAAAATGGAAGTTATTGTTGCTTTCATTTAAAGATACTACAATAGTGTATCGAGGGAACAATGGACGTGCTTGGAACGTCAAGGTGCTGAGTGTGGAAGAAGATACAAGCAATAATGGAGGATAATTGATCAAGAGTGGCAGGACTTTGTGGATAGAAATAATTTAGCTGTTGGTGAAAATATGCATGTGTATTATAAGAATTAAACTTTTTATATTAGAGTTTTGATAATGATGGTAATGAAAGACTTCCTACCGAATCCGAAAATGGTATTTAAGATGGTATTAGAGTTTCTAAGTGTTCAAATGTTATGTATATTATGTATTTTATAACCTGCTTTATCACAAATATCATATCCTCAAGCATACATATCATATCTTCATACAAATATATCATATCCTCAATTGAGAAAAAAAAATACTCCTAAGTTAATATGATATCCTTAAAAGGCTAAATATATCATATCCTCTAACAATATATGATATCCTCAAACACACATATGATATCCTCAAACAAATATATCATATCCTCAAACACACATATGATATCCTCAAACAAATATATCATATATATTCAAACAAACATATCGATCATATCCTTAATAATAAAAAAAAAATCCTCAAAAACATATATAATATCGTGAAATGAGAAGAAAAAAAACACTCAAAAAGACATATCATATCCTCAAACACACATATGATATCCTCAAAGAAATGTATTATATCCTCAATGAAGAAAAACAAATCATCAAAAGCATATATAATATCTTGAATTGAGAAAAATAAAAACATCAAATAGACATATAATATTCTGAAAAACACATATCATATCCTCAAACAAATATAGCATATCCTCAATCAAGAAAAAGAAATCCTCTAAAACATATATATCCACAAACAATAACTATATATCCTTTATCACTTTACCAATATCAGCTATCCTAGAGATGATTTCATCAACCAAAAATAACATAACCAAATAATAAATAATAATAGATCGAAGAAAATTAATCAATAATAGTTACCCAATAATAAAATCTTAAGAATTAAATGCACTTACCACAATCAAAGATAATGACATGCGAAATGACGGCTTTGAGTGACATGTCTTTTCATCTTTCAAGACATTGCATATTTTCGCGTGCTGGAAACCCCTCCTCTTCTTCTCTGAATCTTATTTATTCAAGCAAAAAGAAGAATAGACAATATTCAGAAGAAAAAAATTGTTTTCTTTAGTATTCAAACTCGTTTTGGAAGGAATTTTTATGATCATAACTACTACTACTACTACAAAAGGTATATTCTCTAATTGTTCTATGATCATAATTGGTAGTTTAATTATTTTTTCAATTTTTCGTGACATTGTTGAATGTTAGGGTTTGGTTCAAGGAATCTCTATTTTATGTAAATTTTTGTATAATTAATCTTAGACTATATTGCTTAATAATATGCTCTAATATACTCAATTTTACATAATGTTTTAATTAATATGTTTTGGTTAATGTCCTCAATTAGGAAAAACATATCCTGAAATATTTATATCATATCTAATGACTAAATATGACGAATATCCTCAATTTTAGATTATTTGTTGTAATGTTTTTTTTTTTTTTTTTTTTTTTTTTTTTTTTTTTTCTCTTTTGGTTGTTGATATGTTAAAATTATGAACTAAATTTGCATTTTTGGTGGTGATTTTGTTAGGCTAGATGGCTAACCAACAACCACACCCTGTTGATGCTTTAGAAGATGCTCACCCAACACTGTCCATAGAAGAGATATTGTGCATGCACAGGTCAAGGGTATGATTAATTGTACTTGTAAGTATTGGAATGAACTATGGTATTATAAATTTTGGATTCCAACAGTAGTGAAACAAAATCATGATTCAAATAGATTGTGGGTTGCCTATGACATTATGAGGCACAAAGGATATGGTTTCCACAATGGCATGGTGCAAGACTGGGCTGAATTCCTTGATGGACCGCAGTTAATTTTTGTAGAGGAGGAAGCCATTTACAACAAGAAGAGAAAGAGGGAAGAGGCAAGCCACCTTGGCATGGAGCCAAAAAAAGATGAAGCTAGAGTAAGATGAGTTTGGTTGCATCTTTTAGATGTCCAGTAAGCATATTTTTATTGGGGTAGTATAGGGGATGCTTTTGTAATAAAGTATATTTTTTTGTGATTGTCAAAATTTATTTGTGACAATGAGCTTTTGCAAATGTATTTTATTGTCACAACTTTGACAATTTTGAACTGTATTGAAATACTCATTCTGTTTTAATTAATGAATATTAGATTATGTTCCAATCAATATGTTACGCTTTTTTCTACATCTAATTAAACTCTAAGTATCAAATTGTTTTAACTATTTCAATTATCAAATATATGATTCTCACAATAGAGGGTATCTTTTATACATAAGAGGATATGATTCTCTCAATAAAGGATATCATTTATTCATAAGAGGATATTTTTCTCATAATAGAGGATATAATTTATACATTAGAGGATATGATAAACAACAATGAGAATACAATATGTCAACTGAGAATATCAATTTTAATGATTGAAAACACAGAAAATTATATAAATTTGATTTACAAAATACAGTATATATTTAAAAGAATTGAGGATATAATTTACACAAAAGAGGATATGTTTTACACATTAAAGGATATGACACACAACAATGAGGATACCAATTACACATAGAGAATATCATTCAAAGGACTGAGGATACGATTCACGTATAAGAGGATATGATTCTCACAATAGAGGATATTCGTATGTATAATGAATGTGAAATAAGGATATTCTCACAATAGAGGATATTCTCACAATACAGGATATTCGTATGTATAATGAACAGAGGATATAAGTATGTCAACTGAGGATATAAGAATGTGAAATGAGGATATAAGTATATTAATTGAGGATATATGTATACTGAGGATATAAATGTGTAAACTGAGGATATCTCTATCATCTATTATACAGATTATTAAAAATATCTTAAATAAAATATTATTATTATTATTAAAAATATTTTTAATAATATATTAATATTATTCAAAATATTTTACCCTAAAGCCTAAACGACAAAATTACTTGACGCCCTCCTATATAAAGTACATTTTTCTTTATCAAAGCTCACTTCAAATCTATCCTTTTCTTCAAATCTATCCTTTTCTGCAAATCTATCCTTCAGTATCAACAACCCTAAACCTAATTTTTTCTGCAAAAATGGAAAACAAAAAATCATCACGAAATAAAAAAAAGTGCGATTCGATTGATACTGAAGACATTGATATAAAACATTGGAGATTCATTTGGGCTATCTCAAGGGTCAATTACAGGGAGTCATTGATCGATGTAAGGCTGAGGAAATGTTTTTATTGATTTAACAATGGAAGTGAACAAGATTGAAAACCTCGTGAAAGAGAAGAAGAAAAAGGCGTGGGAAGATGATAATGATATTGCCGCTGCTGCAGAGGCTTCTGAAGGAATTTGGGAGGAAATGCAGAAGAATAAGAGGGTGGCTAGACAATCCTCAAATTAGTTATCCATCATTTTATCTCTTCTTGTCATCTGTTTTGGAGAACTCACTAGAGGAGTGTAACTGCGTTTCTTTTAGTTTTTCAACTTCAAAGGCAACATCTTTTAACTTTGAGCCTGCAGGACAATACCTACAAACAACACTCTTTGACTTCCCAAATTCTCTAAAACATCCCAATTTTAAAAGATGGGATGTTTTAGAGAACTTGGGAAGTGAAAGAGTGTGGTTTGTAATAATGTTAAAAGTATGTAACATATATATATATATACTTGCTAATAAAATTTATGGCTTTATCTACTAAGAATTAGAAATCATTTTATTTCGTATTCAATTTTTTAGAAGGCTTGATTCCTGCCTCAATAAAAAAAAATCCTTAATCGTATATATCGTATCCTCAATCGAGAAAAACAAATCATCAACCGAATGTATAATATTTTCTTATAAATAAATTATATCCTCCGATTAGTTGAAAGAATCTAACAAACCTACCTAAAATTAAAAAATCAAATCCTCAGATTCATATATCATATCCTCAATCGAGAAAAACAAAACCTCAAACCCTTATATCATATCCTCTAATAAAATTAAACAAACCTACCTCAATTTAAAATCAATAAAAACAAATCTTGAAATGCATATATTATATCCTCAATCGAGAAAAACACATCCTCAAACCGCATATATCATATCCTCTTATAAATAAATTATATCCTTTGATTATTTGAAATCCTCATACACATATATTATATACTCAATAGAGTTAAACAAATCCTCAGAGCTTTATATCATATCCTCTTATAAACTTAAACAAATCTACCTCAACTTAAAATCATTGAAAACAAATCCTGAAACACATATTACATATCCTCAATCAAGAAAACCAAATCCTCACACATATGTATCATATCCTTTTATGAATAAACTATATCATCTAAATCAGTTTTACAAATCTACCTCAACTTAAAAAAAAAGCGCGGGTTTTAAGCCCGGCCAAAACAGGCTGGTGCGCTTATATATATTAAAAATAAAACCTAGGTTTCCATGCCGATATTTTTGTTCAAAAAATCAACATAAAAGTGGAACATCGATGGAATAAAACTTAGAAAATTATCAACAAAACAAATCAAATGATCGACAAAATGCAAAAAAAAAAAAAAAAAATCAACAGAATGAATCAATTTCACCGAATTTATCTGCATCAACGTCAAAAAATTATAGAAGCTCCATTGAAGAAAATGAAGCAAATGCTCTAGAAATTGAATCAAATGCTCAACATGCACAAAATGATCCTGAAAAAGTATCAATTTCTCCTAATGAATCTACTGTAACATCTGCAAAAATAGGTATTTTGATCTAAATTTTTTGCTTCATTTGAAAATAGTATATTTTAATTTTCATATGTATCTGAATATATAAGTATTTTGATCTAAGAACAAAAAAATTTAGGTAAAAAATAGAGTATTATATTATATATACAACAAATCATATAATTTATAATAGAATAGATAATATCATCTTGAATATATATGATATCCTCTATAGTAAAGATGATAACCTCAATACTACGTCTGATATCATCTTTCGTATCGACCATATCATGTTGTCCATTGAATAGAGAATATCTTCCATAATATAAATACTAACTTAAATACTACTTTTGATATCCTTCATGCAATTCACGATAACCTCAATAATAATAATGATATCATAAATCCCTAGAGACTATGTCATAGAATAAAATAGAGGATGTCATCAGTAGAAATAGAGATTATAATGCATGGAATAGAGGATATAATGCATAGAATAGAGGATGTCATCCATAAAAATAGAGGATATAATGCATAAAATAGAGGATATCCATCAATTACATAGAGGATATCATTAATATTAAATATTCTCAATAACTTATTAAATATTTTTTTCAAATTGTAGCGTTGGAATATTTCAAATATGATAATGATGAAAATATCAATTTATCTTTGATGGGAAGAGTTGTTGATGATCGTGAGGATGCGTTGCGTTTGTACAAAGCTCATTCAAGAGCAATTGGATTTAGTGTAAGAAAAAAATACTCTTAATCGAGATAAAAAAAAAAGAGGGAATAATATCTAAATTTTACTTTTGCTACTCAAAAGAGGGTTATATGGTACAGAGAAAGAAAAAAGAAAAGGAGATAGCAAATACAGAATTCATAACAGAGAAAAAAGAGCCATCAAAGATGAGAACAGTAAGGTCAGTTAATGAGACTAGAACTGGTTGTAAGGCTAATATAAGATTCAAGAGGACAAAATCTAGAGAGTATTGTGTTATTCAACACAATATAAAACATAATCATGATTTGGTTAATCCTTTAGAAAGACATCACTTGAAATCTGAAAGAAATGTAAAAGAAGAGATAGGATGGGTGATTGAAAAGATGGTAGAGAGTGGAATTAAACCAATGGACTGCTTTGAGTTTCTTAAAAGAGAAGTAGGATCAAAGGAAGCTTTAGGACACACAAAGAGAGATCTATTAAACTATGTAACTAGGTATAAATCTAAGATAATTGAAGGAGGTGATATGCAAAGTGTACTAAACACACAACAAGAGAGGGCAGAATCAAATTCTTCTTTCTTTTACAGATTAAAGTTTGGTGAAACTGATCATATAGTAAGTTATTTTTGGCATGATTCAATGATTTTAGAAGATTTTAAAGCTTTTGGAGATGTAATAATATTTTATACCACATATAGAACTAACAAATATGGTTTAATATGTGCACCATTTGTTGGAGTAAACAATCATTGGAGAACAACAATGTTTGGGTGTGCTTTTATAACTAATGAAACTACAGAAACTATCGAATGGGTACTTGATACTTTCAAAAAGTCTATGGCTGGAGCGAAACCAAAGATAATTTTCACTGATCAGGATCAAGCAATGAGCAATGCAATTGCAAAGGTAAGTAATACTTTTTAGTTAAATTATAGTATTTTAATTTTAATGATTAATATCAGATAACAAAAATAATGGAGTATATCATTTAACAGAAAAATGATATCCTCAAAAAACTATATGATATCATACAGAAACTGGATGATATCCTCCAAAAACTAGATGATATCCTGTTAAGGTTATATGGTATCCTCTAAAGTAAAGATGATATCCTCCGACATTTATACCATATCATTTATTATTATAAATTCACATTTTATAAATAAATTTTTTAGGTTTTACCAAATTCAAGACATAGGTTGTGTTTCGGGGTTTTCTGATGTCCTGCGGGAGAGTTACAATTCCGAGAATGGAACCGGACGCCTGTACCTGCAAAACAAATGGATGCTCCGGATGATTGGAGATCCGCCTCCGACAGTCAAGTTAGTACTTGATTAAGGAGTAATTAATGCGGAAATAAAAGTGATTGGGTCTCTCTAGGTGAGAGTGTTAAATGTGCGTCCTCCCCTTAATGAGGATTAAGGGAGGTATTTATAACCTTGGGAAACGTGTCAATCCTAGGTTTAGGTTAACCTAGGGCTGATTGGGCTTCCCTTGGAAGTTGGGCCTAGGTGGCCGGTTTCTCCATTAGGCATGGAGGATGCCACATGTCATGACATAATAGGTCCAGGATGGACAAATAGGCGTGTGCCACGTGGCAAACCCTGACAGTTCCAACTGGTGGACACTTGGCAGGACCTGATTGGCCCACGTGGCGCATTCCGATTGGTGGGAGCAAAATCCCCTAATCATTTGCCCCTCACAGGTGGCACGTGAATGGTCACGTGTCACCTGTGACAGGTGTCGCATTGTGACAGGCGACGGCCTGCTACAGGTGTCACTCGGCGAAAGGCCGAGAGAATCTCCCGCCCAAATTTTGAATTTTGGAAATGACCATTCGCCTTCTCACTTCGCCTATATAAGGGAGTGTTGACTTCAGTCATTTTCACACTTGAGAACTTTTTTAGAGAGAACATTCGGACCCCTGAACTTGCTCTGACATTTCGGACCCTTTCTGCCTACAGCCTGCTCTGACAAGCCGACTACACAGGATTTCCAGAACTCCGTCAACTTCACTCGTTCAGGTAACCGTCAGTTCTCTTACTCTTAATTTTCTCTTTATTTTATTCTTTTTCGAAATGGCACCACAGAAGCACACGACACGACCTAGGTTAGTGATCAGCCGGTCACCGGAGACGGCTGAATCTAGGACTAGGAGTGCCGCCTGCCCTTTTCCGGACCCATCTTTGCCCTTTATACAAAGTCCGACTGTCTCTGTGTCTATGCAGAACATGATGGCCAGAACAAAAAGAACTGCTAGGATTTCGAACTCAGACGGCTCCTCCCACAGGGTGCCGATTAGTGAAACATCTGACCAGGCGCCAGATGTGGAAGTGAACCAAAGCGGCTTGAAAGCCGACAGTTCTGAGGGAGGAGTCAAAGTGACCCCTTCCAATTTTACAATTGAAAAATCTACATTCTCTCCTGCCCCTTTTGAAGGAGAGAAGGCGGGCCCCTCTGGGAGAAGGGAGGAGTCGTCCTCTTCGGACTCGTCAGAGGACGAATCCGAATCTAGCTCTTCTGGTCATACTTCTCTGGACACAGAAGAGAAAAACAGTCGCCTACAAGAGGCGAGGCTTTCTCACGCAGTTGAGAAGGGGGACAATTGGGCGGAGCCATCCGCCTCTTACCGAGAGCAAAATACCCCCTACTACTGCACTGTCCCACGGGGCCGGATCGCGACCATGCAAGAGAAAGTGGGGAGCTTTATTGCGAACCACACAATGAGCCCCAGTTTTTTAGTTTTCGTGCCGGATCCAGAAAACACAGTCGTCTGGCCGGCTGGTACTAGTTATGATGGCGCCTGCTTTGGCTGCTACGAGGCGGCCATCAAGGCTGGGCTGCGCTTCCCACTACATCCGGCTGTTCAGCGGATCTTGGATGGGTATGAGTTGGGGTTATGGAAGTTAGCCCCGAACTCCTGGGTCAACGTACTCGGCTATGTGGCCGGGTGCGAACTGCACGGGGTGGAGCCAAACTTCGAGGCTTTCGCCCACATGAACTACCTCAGCCGGACCCCTAAGGCAGGCGGTACCGGCTGGTATCAATTGACGAGCCACCGAGGCTACCTCATGACAAGAGGTAAAGCAAACAAGTTGAAGGACTGGCGAAGCACCTTCCTTATCATTAAGAGTTCAGACACAGAGCTGAACAAGCGCTTCAACAGGTGGAACAGGAATCCGCCTCTTCTTGCAGGCGGCCGCAGCATGCCGCCTGTTCCCCCCAAAGCTAAGAAAGAGATCCTGGATAAAGGACTCTTTAAAGTAGAGTCGAGGGTCGACTCTACTTCAGGGGTACGAGAGCAAGTACCCCTGCACTGCGTCCCGAGCTTCAAATGGCTCTACGACGAGTACTTTTTGGCCGCCTGTGGCCTCAGCAGTCGGTGCTCAAGAGGTAGCCGGCCTGTCGAATACTCTGTTTTTCCATGCATTACTGTTATGACTTTTTATTAACTTTGCTATTTGTTCTTGCAGCGGACGCCATGAGCAAAATTACCGCCTCCAAGACTGCGGCGACCATGTTGCGAGCCTCCATCATGCAACAATCCTCAACCGACTCCCCCAACAAGGGGGCGCCCTTGGTGAGCTTCGAACCTTTCACTCTCTTTTTGGAGTTGGGTTTATGCATATACTGACCGAGTGTTGTTTTTTTTTTTTTTTTAGATGGGCACTCCCAGAGCCTCTTCTTCCCAACAGCCGGACTCCAAGACCCGGAGGACGACTGTTGCGAGCTCTCCTGGTTCTGCCAGGAAACATGCGGCGGCTGAGAAACAGCCGGCCACTCCTTCTAAAACTCCAATCGGGCCGCTTAGAAGTATGAAGTTGTCCTTGTGAATTTAGACTTGCTCCCTTCTTTACTAGGTCTTACTCGTTTATTTATGATTGATGCAGCCGGCCCTCAGGAGCCAGACTTGGTCGAGGTGGCCAAGTCTATGATTAAAGCCGTCCCTCCAGCTGAGAGGGAGGCGGTCAGGGGTGTCGGCACCCTTGACCTAGACGGGATTGCAGGGGTCCTTGCTGAGGTATACTTAGCATATTTTTGGTTATTTAAATTCCCAGACGCCTATTTTTTGTTTGAGGACTGACGCCTGTTCCTGTTTACTTAGGCCCTGCTCCGAGTGAACGGCCTTCGCAAGCCGCTTGACAGGAAGAACAAAGAGGTAAAGGCTGCAAAGGCTATGGCCGCCTCTGACTGTGATAAGGCAATGTTTCAAATTGCCCAAAATGAGGTTCTGACAATTGACATTCTTTATTATCAGGCGCAGGCTACTTCTGCTATCCGGGCTCAGTTAGAGGCGGCCCAGATGAAAAATAACGAGCTGGAGGCGACCATCAACAATCTCAAGGCCGAGCTGAGACCTCTTCGCCAAATATTGTCCACATACGACACCTTGGAAAAATCCTTGGTGCACGTTAAGGAACGCCTGGTGACCCAGGAGAAGAGTCTTACTCAGGAGCTCTCGGAAAAGGCCGAGCAAGAAAAGAAGGAGCTGGTCCGAGAGATGATGGAAGACTCTGCTCAGATCCAGCGCCTGACCTGGGGCCGCCTCTTCCCCAATGCCGACTTTTCCTCCTGGGAAAAAACGTACCGCCAGTGTTCTGATAGATATAATCAAGAGATCCTGGCGGCTGCTGAGGACGAGGCGTTGAAGGAGGAGGAGCCGGTAGTGGCGCTTGTGCCACTTGGGGGGAATGCATCGAAGAAGGATGCGGCTGAAGCCGAGTCCAGAAAAAAGAGTGCTGACCAGGCGGCAGCTGCTACTATTGAAGATCTGCCCCCTTCTTAAGTTTAAATGTCTTCTTTTTATGGCCTGCGTGCCGTTTGTTTCTATTTACCCGGCCAGGGGGCCGGGGTTCTGAATATTTGGCCGGTCTTTAATGACCGGCTTCTTTTTTATGCCAAAATGTTTCGTTTTTGTTTTGTTTCAAATTTGTTTTGTTTCAAATTTGTTTAAGTATCGAAACTCTGATATCCAATTGCATACTATACCGACTGTTTTGCATGGCCGATAGTTGCGGACAGGTACGAGATAGTTAGTCACGCCACCTATGCCCCTGGACGACTGGTTGTCTTTTTCCAGGATAAGCGATCAGTCGGCCATTTTACAGACTGAATCCCCTTCAACCAAGTAGGAAGGTGGTTTCCTACCTGCCTTGTTTGTTTATTTGTTTTTTAGGCTAGAGACTCTAGTCGGTCCAGGCCGACTGTTCCCCGCCACATTTAATCTCTTGTGAACAGGCGTTGTATGAACACCTTTTTAGTTTCATACTAAATTTTTAAGGAGTGACCAAGTAAACATAATTGTTACCTAGTCGCCGAGTGACTGAGTAGTAGAGGTTTCAAGCGGTGGGTACCGGTTGTTCCCCTTTATTCGCCAATGTTTGTTGGCTATTAACTCATAAGATACCGACTGTTCTTATCCCAAGTAGTTCAGTCGGTTTGGTTGATACGGATGGTTACTGCGAACACTTTTTTGACCTGATTAGTCAGTTAAGTGAGAGGTATCCTTGTCCGGGAAACGGCTACGTGGTTGTCTTGGTTAGACAGTCGTATAGGTGCCGTGTAATGATTTTATAGAACAATATTCCACCCAAAAGGGAGCTGCTCTCTGCGACGAATTTCATCCGGATGGATGCCGTCGGACGCCTGCTATAATGTTGGGACAGGTCGAATTAAACTTATATTTGGATCAGTTGGCTTGCCGCCTGGTTTGATCATTTCAGCCATGAACCTTTGATAGTTCTTGGTGAACTGTGTTTTGGGAGAGTAGCCAGTTGTGTGGAACAAGCGGCGTGCCCCTCTTAAGTAAAAATTAAAAATAAACATGGAGAGTAGCCGACTGTTTGTCAGTAGGCGTGCCCCTCTTAAGTAAAAATGAAAAATAAACATGGAGAGTAGCCGACTGTTTGTCAGTAGGCGTGCCCCTCTTAAGTAAAAATGAAAATTAAACATGGAGAGTAGCCGACTGTTTGTCAGTAGGCATGCCCCTCTTAGTACAAAATTGAATGAAACATCAAACTTTTATTAAGTAGCCCTCGAGTATTTACATCATTCAAAAGAAATATTTCTTAAGATTATCTACATTCCAGGTTCGGGG